AACAACTCATTGCTAAGTCACTGCGCCACGGAGCCGTCCTTAAATAGAGGTATTTTCCGAACCAGTGGTAAATTAAACATAGGAATGACTTTTAAATAGTATTATTTACAATATATGTAGAATAAAATAATTCCACTTCAATTTCTATAATATTATTCAGTGTTTAAATATTTTTATTTATTTCTTATGTAGGCAAATTATTACACAAATTATAAAGTTGTATTAAAAGGAGATGTATTTTGTTAGACAGTTGTATAATGCTGCATAATCAGAGTATCGTATCATTTAAACGAGGAAAGTTTCAGACTAACAGTTGGTAGCGATAAGGTTAACCAGGAAGGAAAGTTTCTTGTTTATTCCTTTTCTCTAGTATTGTTTACTTTGAGTTGTATATTTTGTTTTAATACCTTTACATACATATACGTATGTTATATTCCCGAAACTTTACTGCTGCATTGGAAGACATCCTCAAGCTACTGGACTACAAAGGATACGGTATTAACATAAATGGTTGAGAGGTTTTTATAATGAATTTAATTATTATTTATTAATAATAATTATGAGGCGTCACAGCATCTTTGACTACATCAGCACTTGCTATCTGGTGGGATACCACAGATTACTTAATAGTGACTTGACCACAGATTACTTAATAGTGACGTGAGTGAGTAATTTGACTACATCAGCACTTGCTATCTGGTGGGATACCACAGATTACTTAATAGTTTACTAAACCTATACTTTTGCCAACGAGAAGCGATACCAAATGTAAACAAAACCATTGCAAGGTTATTAGGAATAGCAGGGGTGCGTAACTTTTTGATAGTAAGATTATATATTTAAGTAGACAATATAGTTTAAAAAAAAAATCTAGCAATTTAAAAAACAGACTTTTTATAAATTTTCTTATAATTTGAACTATTATATAATGAAGGTTTAAATTAAATAACGAGAATAATAATATTTTTTCTGAATATCGCTTGCCTAACAACTGTGTAGCCGGTGTATAGTAACAGGCTTGCCCTCTATTACATAGGGACTTAAATATATCAGGCAAAATGTGGGTGCTAATATCTCTGCCTATCCCTTAGGGGATACAGGACTGATGATGCCTATGTTATATTATGTTTATGGAAATGAGGATAAAAATATTTTTTTGAGGAAATCATTGTTTATTCAGTTCTTCTTCCGAACGACGCCGATTCTTCTGTGTCTGTAGAGTCAAAATCAGAGTATGTAACACGTATAATAAATTTATCCGTCACCTCATCTACAATAAAATCATGTTTAAAAAACGTATCTTCTTCTTTTTAAACATGCTCCACACATTTTTTCCACCGATCAGGCGTGACTTTCGCCATACTGTCACTTAATAATGCCTTAACTTTTTCAAATTTAAGCGTATTATTGTGTCTAGCTACATCCCCCTTTACATCAGCCCAAATCAACTCAATGGGGTTTAATTCAAAATGTTAAGGGAGAAGTCTTAGGCCAAGTTTCATTAACATATTTGTAGGTATTAATAACAATATTTTTTCATTCACAGTAAAACTAGTCACCTAAAATTAAAAATTAAATTAAAATGATATACATACTTTACGTACATGCATCTTTAATAAATTAGGAAGAGTTTTCTTATTACAGTTGCTGTTTTTTAAATAACTTTAAGATAACTTTAAGGTACACTCCAAACCAAGGAGTTTTAATTAAAACTACTAAACAACATTCATATATATCCTATTCCTATACATACCTTTGGACGTTTCTTGTTCGGAGAAGTAAAATCTTTTGATTTATCTCCCGACTTACTTGGTTGTTGCTCCATCATTAACCAATCTTAATAAAAAACAATTGTCAATAAAACAAAATAACAATAATTAAATAAACAACAAAAATAACAATAATTTTAACAAATAACTTGTATCACCACGAGCGCGCTCCTAATGTTGACGAACCCATCTTGACTCAGACATTATTTTGCCGAGAAAACGAGCCATTACGACAAATACACAAGATGGAAATAGATAGATAATAGATTGTCAACTCCACAGTCGTTTTTAAGGTAAATGACCTTTCGTATCGCTGCTAGTTGGCTCAACTATAGTCGAGCACTGGCTTAAAATATTTAAAAAAATCCATATTGCATCCCATTTTCAATATGGCGATAAAGCTTATTCCTTAATTCAGGCTATTTTCAAGTGTTGATATTTAAGTCTCATTTTTTTTGTTAAATATTTTTTTTATTAAATAGAACAAATTAGTTCGATGAAACAATAAAAGCAGCATTTTATTTTCAATATATATCCTTCATAATTAATCCACATTTAACGAGCACTTCGTAATAATCCTAAAACAGCCCTAATTATTAGACTTATTCAGAGATACTCCATTCGATATGTAAACGAAAAATGTTTTTACCCTCCCATATGGGATGTACATACGTCCTATCTTTTCTTAGATTTATATTGCCAATGTGTATAATTTGCTCCTGAATTTTTAACGAGTTTGCTTAAAACAAGAAGTTAGGTTTGATTCTGTGATTCATAAAACAGACAGTCGAATGAAATTAGAAGAGTCGAGTCGAGTAGATCTTTGTCATTGACAGCGGAATTAAAATAACCTAATATCACTCAATTATTGTGATACTTGCAATGTAATATTCGCAATAATCTATTGAGTTCACTAATTGCTTGAGTTGAACTAATAAGTAATAAATTCTAATGGGTTTGACATGATATTATGTAGGTCGTTTATGTATGTAGTAATTTTAGTCTATTTACCCTTAAATTTTACTCTTGAAATTGTTATCTAGATCAATAATTAGAATTTTCACCTGCAATTGTGTATTTTATAATAATGAAACTATTTTTACGGTAATTATGAGAGACCTCCGATATATGGCAGTGTATCTCGTATATCCCATTGATGGCGGTGCACGAGAATACATCAACCCATTTTGTTCTTCGGGTGCTGTAAGAGGTGACTATAGAAAATACTAGAAACATACAGCAGGCTTCTGATAAAAGGTGCTGTAACTATCTTGCGACAGATTAGAAATATCCAGAACGGTGACGGGAAGCAGTTTCAAAGATATGAGGCGGCCCATGTTCAGCTTTGAATGCATGGCATCTACGGGCTGATGATGGAGACGAAGAAGAACTTAATCTATTGCTTATTTATTGTTGTTCTAAGTCGCTTTCATATTTTAAAACTCTACACTTACAAATACGGCTGAAGTAAAATAATAACCGTAACCGTTACAGCTTACTGCTGAACAAATGCCGCCTGTACAGATTGCCTCATAAGTAGAATATTTGCCATAGTTGCCACACTTGGCAAGCAGGTTGGCAAGCGCAGCTTTTAATTTTTAGTCGTTATTAGAAAAATGATTTTAAAATAATTATTTTTCTTTAAATAATAATAAACAGAAAATTTGTCATTTTAGTTTAGGTGTAAAGGAACGTCGTTATTTTTTTCTCACAGTAATAGGACAATAATACTTTAGGGACACGGTTCAGTGGTTCCAAAAATCAGGACATACTTTATATCTGCCCAAATAAAGTTTATAACCACATCATCATTCATCATCTTTACAGCCCTTCACAAGTCCACTGCTGAACATAGGCCTCGCACAAGGAACGCCACAAAGCACGGTCCTGAGCCTCCTACATCCATCGACTCCCTGCATGTCTTACCAGGTCGTCACTCCAACTAGCGGAGGGACGCCCTACACTTCGTCCGCCGGTACGAAGCCGCCAATCAAGAACCTTTTTGCCCCATCGGTTGTCGGTTCTTCGAGCTATATGGCCGGCCCATTGCCACTTCAGCTTACTAATGTGGTTCTACTGCAAATAGCTACATTTCTAAATTTATCACGCAGAGAAACTCCGAGCATAGCCCTCTCCATAGCTCGCTGAGTGACCTTGAGCTACCTCTTCCGGCCAGCAGTGAAGGACTACGTTTCAGTTCCATAAGTCATCACTGGCAACACACACTGGTTTTGAGGTATACCTGACGATTTTCACGTACCGTAATTTCCCGAACGCTGCCTAGCCGAGTTGAATCCATTGATTGACCTCTCGGTCGAAGTTGGACTTACCTAGTCGGACTACTTGTCCCAGGTAAATATACTCGTCAACAACTTCGAGCATAGTGCTCCTAACAACTGCTGGCATAGGTGTCACGTGGACGTTATACATGATCTTCGTTTTGTCCATATTCATCTTAAGATCTATCCGTAGGGAGGCACTATTGAGGATATTGAGCATAGTGCTTAGGTCCTCCAGCGATTCCGTCATAAGGAGTACATCGTCGGCAAATCGAAGGTCAGTATTGTACTCCCTGTTGTTGTTAATACCGTATATTTTCCAGTCATGTGGCTTAAAACGTCATTCAATGCAGCGGTGAAGAGTTTCGGGGATATAACGTCACCCTGTCTTACACCTCTCTACAGTTAGTGGCGCGAATTGAACGAACAGGCTTAACACTGTTAAATTAAATTGATAAACCTTATCATTTACACGAAGTAATTGAGGCATAGAATCCCAGTCGATCCTTTCCATTTTGAAATTGAAACTATCATGATTTATGTCTTTCACTGGACGATACATGAACTGAATTGGTTGACATTTTGGCTTATTGATTTAAAAAAAAAAACATGTAAATGTTAAGAAAGCATGATTACTTAGCCTGATAACAACTGAAAATAATAAAAAAATGCGGTGGCCGCCTGCCAAGCGTGGCAACTATGGAAAAATCTCCAATATGACGTAATCTATGTGGGAGACCTATGTTCAGCAATGAATTTTATAGGCTGTCATGTATGGACCGTCGATACTACAGTCGATTACCGCAAGGAACAATAATTTCTAGGGTCTAGAAATTATTATTCCGGGTCTGGCTGTTTATTGCTTTATAATTCATGCATCGTTTACGCCTTCACAATATAACAGAAAGTCCTAATATGGTTGTAAATTCTTATGACAAGAAAAAAAGGCATTACGTATAATATTAATTTATTTAGAATCCACAATGATTTGTAAAAGGTGTGATGGTGGCACATCTAACAAATAGTTGTTTACGGTGGGCACAACATAATCCCACAGCGCTTTGACTATTGTACTATGATATTCTGCAAGAATTTGAGCGCCTTCAGTATTTAGTAATACATTTATTGGCCACGAACTGTTCTGGAGATCAGCCTGAAAAAAAAATATTATACAAATATTCTGAACGCACTGGCATTACGCATATAGCCCCGGCCGATCACTGACGCCGTTTTACGCTTTTAGACTTACTCTTGTAAGACTTTAATGTTCAATGACAAAATTACATCATCATCATCATCATCATTTTAACCCTTCAAAACTCCATCGCTGAAAATATGCTCCCCCCACGGACTTTTACAAAGCACGATCACCTGCATCAATCGACTTCACGCAAGGCTTATCAGGTCGTTACTCCATCTACACAAGCATACAAACAAACACAAACACACACACTACTAGGTGATAGAACTCCTTTTCTGCCTAGGATTCCTTTTGGGCAGGTACCACTCACTTAGCTTTTCTAGCACCAAATAGCAATGCTGCAAGCATTGTTGTGTTTAGGTCTTAAGGATATAGCCAGTATAATTATAGACTGTCAGATCTTCTCCGTCTTAGTCCTCAAAGATGACAACCCACTTGTAGCCTTTTTTGTTCAAGGTTAGCTGCAGGTGTCCATGGACTGCTGTTAACATTTAGCCAGCAGGTGGATTGAAAGTTTTTTTATCAGGTCAGCCTTATAAAAACACACCTAAATACACACACACACACTACTGTACTGTAATACAGACACGCATACGCTCTTCTATTATAATGTTAAGTTTAAGAACGCACCGCAACACCACATGCGCCACAGAACCTTTTCAGCTAAGACTTTGCGCTTAGAGTAAAGCATTAGTTGTGAGCATTGGGCAGGTTGACTGCAGCGTGCATAACAGTCATATGATCTTCTGTTACAGTGTTCTAAGTGGCAGCCGCTCAATATGAATGCCGACTGGACTATTGCCACATACCGCAAAATCTTGTTAAATATATAAAACAAACGCTTCATAATCACCTATAACTCCCACATGCATAGGTTTTTGTACCTATGGGACGGTGTCGTTTTATGTGTGAGTTAATTAAATAATAACACGCACGTACGTTTCTCGGCTTAGACCAAATTAAGTGTCTTTTGAAATCCGGCCCGGGTGAGGTAAGTCGGATCGACGTGAGCGTAGTTCTATTATGTATTCATTATAATATTAGATGGACCTTAAGGCTTTTAAGTAGCTATTGAATCACTTTATAAAGGCTTGCTCGGCAATTTTATGATATAAAAAATAAATGTTACAAAAACCGAGGTCAAAAACATTCCTTTCCGAGTTTTACTGTCATGAGGGATTGCATATAACTTCGTTCTCTATATATATTTGAACGTGTCAGAGCATCGTTACAGATTTTCAACGAATTAGTTACTTAAGAGTAGTTAAATTTAAAGGATTATTTTCTTTCGATGGAGAGAGATCTATATTCTAAGAAAAGAAAATTAGGGAGTTAAATGTGTTTACCTCTATTTGTTTTACATCGAAGTTTAATAAGAAATCGTGTATTCTTGTACCGCCTCTGTCAGATGCAAAACGCACCGTGGCGGTAATTATAGAATTTCGGAAGACAAGACTGAAATCAATAAATCAAACTTAGATGAATGCTATTTATATATTTTATTTTTATTTTAAAACGTTTATCTACTAGAAATTTGAATTACTTACTTCATCTTCCCCGATCCTCTAAGTGGATATACATAATAAGCCCAGCCAGTCAATTTGTATTGTTCTGAAAAAAAAAGCACTTATTAGTGTTTTCCTTGATTATTATACTCATTGAGGAGAATTTTCATAAATGAGGTAAGGATTCAGCTGTGGGACCTAAATTATCTATTTTGATATTGTTTCATTATTATATATGTCCACGATAATGAAAAATAAACATGTATCTGTTTGATTTCTTAATGTTTTAACACTGAAAAGATCTCTCAATACTAAGAAAAAAATCTTACAAACACTATAATCTCGTTTACAATAGATGTAAAATACTCGAACTAGTAGGGGTAGCAGCGTGAAAATGTCAGAAGGCAATTCAACCCCACAACGGGAAAAGCCCACTCTAGAAATGGAATTTCATGGCAATGTAATGTTTCGTTTTAGGATCACTAGACTTTAGCATTGGTGGAAAACGTGACTGCCGAACATGTTGCCCGTGGTTCGAATACTGGGTCAGCAGGAACTCAGAGTCAAACAGTGTCTCAGCGACATACCTCAGAAATCACGTAAAGCCGTTAGCCCTGAGCCTGTTTTCTCTCCGGTCGTATCGGATTACTGTCTTATCGGGCTATGGAAGGAAATGATACATTATTTAATAATTAACTATATATTATCTATGTTACTTTTAAATAAAAATACATGTATTAGATATACTACTAATATTTATATAAATAAAGCATACCAGAACGAAGGGTTAAGACTGGAAAAAGTAATGTTAAGGATACTTCTAAGGTTTTTTCTGACGCAGCAATATTTTTGATAGAAAATTGCTTCAGACCAGTAAGTTCCATGTCACCAATCGAGTAATCCATCCTGATTAAAAAGAGCTTTTTTTATTTTATAATATATATAGAAATAGTTTGAATTAAAATTGCAATTAAAAATATTTAATTTTTTTTATAGGAGAGGGGCAATCAAGCATACGGCTCACCTGATGGTAAGTGACTACCGCCGCTCATGCACAATTGCAACACCAGGGGAATTGCAGATACGTTGCAAGCCTTTTAAAAGGGAATACGCTCTTTTCTTGAAGGTCCCTAAGATCGTATCGGTCCTGAAAAATCTCTGGTGGTAGTCTATTCCACAAGGAAGTAATGCGAGGAAGAAAACTTCTTTTAAATCGCACAGTGGTGGACCGTCAGTCATCCAGATGGTATGAATGGTATCGCGAGTTTTGTCGCTATGTGCGATGGTGAAATTGTGCGGCTGGAATTAGTCAGAATAATTCCTTAGAGCACTCCCAGTTGTAAATGCGAAAAAATACGCAAAGAGATGCAACATCTCTTCGCAGTGCCAGTGAATTAAGCCAATCGGAAAGAGTTCGGTCGCGGACGATTCGAACTGCTCTGCGCTGGATGCGATCAAATGGAAGGAGCTGGAACGAGGGAGACCCAGCCCAGAGATGAGAGATGGGAATAGAACAAGCCAATTTGGCCTTCGCTTCCAAGTGACCACGAAACTGCACGTCAATCGATATCTCGACGCCAAGGATTCCGATACTGGCTGAGGCAACAAGGGGAGTGCCTTGAAACTGATGAGATACGACGAAGGGGTTCTTTTAAGCGGTAAACGTGCAAACTTGTATCTTTTAGGGATTGATCTGGACTAGATTTAGTCGCCCCCAGTCCAAGACTTTGTTAAACAAAGTCTCGACTTCAGACACAAGCGAGTTCCGATACTCGGTGACGTTTTCCCGAGAAATATTGGCACGGCCGGTATATATAGCCTCACCAGTGCTGTCATCTGCATAGCAATGAATGTTACCGATTTGCAACATGTCATTGATATGCAGAAGAAACAGCGTTGGCGATAGCACGCAGCCTTGTGGAACACAAGTGCTTGACCTTGATGCTCCCATCTGCAAGAAAGCTGCTAATCCAATCGCATAATTTCTCGGTAAATCCATAGGAAAGAAGTTTCATAAGAAGCGCTTTGTACCAAACCCGATCGAAAGCCTTCGTTATGTCCAAACTGACGGCCAATGAGTTAGGTAACCCAGAAGATGACTAGTCGAGCGACCGCGACGGAAATCGTACTGACGGTCACTAATCACCTGGTGATCCTCAAGGTACCGCATGAGCTGGCTGTTAATAATGGACTCCATTTTTTTAAAGAACAAGGATGTGAGTGCGATAGTCGTATAGTTGGACAGATCAGACATGTTTCCTTTTTAGGGATCGTTTTTAAAAAGTAATTAAAATAAATTGGAAAGTAAAGTTATTGTCTTAAGTTTCAAAAGTCATTAACATCTAAGGCGCCAGCCTAAAATGGTAACGTTTATATACCTAATTTTCAAACTGCGATGCCCCTGGAGTAATGAGCAAACTATTTATTTGATTTAAAGTTGTTGATGAAATGCTAAAATAATAGTTCAAAGGCTCTAAGGATCAAAACATTTAGGACTTGTCAACACTTTTAGTATTTAAATGATAATTTGAGATGATACTTATAATAAATGATAAATAAAATGATAATAACCGATTCCAATACCGATTTTTATAAAAGTAAAGCATTAGCAATTTTGCCACGTATTCAAAATGCTCCTCGTTAAAATAGTTATGTATTCTTGCTAAATATAAATAAATAATTGTCACATTAACATTTTGTGGCTATGTTTGACGTCAAAGCACACTTACACACTACAGACTGTAGCTGTTTTACGGCTACAGTGCTATTGGATCGTCTCGACTGGGAAAGTAACACGCTCGCAAAGAATAATTCCAGGTTTTTCTGGATCAATATATTATGGACCAAGTGATTAATTAGGGCATTATTTATAATGCCCGGAGAATATTAATAATGACAAGTGAAATTCAGCTGTATAACTAATTCTGATTTAAGCTTCGTTATTTATCGCATTGTGTGGTTATTATGAATATTGCTACGAAACCATTTGGGCAATTTGTAATAACCTATTCTAACCAAATTTATGTTGATCACTTTTAAGAAATTTAAAATTAACAAGTGTAAAAATGTGAAAGAAGGCAAATCCTACTTTGCAGTATAATATTAAAAGCAATGGGGTACAAATAAAAAATACCTTTGATAAAAAATGCAAGAAAAAAAACCTAACCTCACCTGACCTATCTTTTTATTATCATGCCCAATTAGATACGGACTTTATTTATAACGGCAGGTCAATTTAATTATTTTAATAGTTTTTATCACATTGCCTACTCATTTTGGGCATTATTTATATTGCCCGGGCGTTGTGAAAAATACCCTATTAATAACTTAGCCTATAACAGAAATGACTTAAAAACCTTCAAGAAAAGAACCTACTGCTTTTGAAAAAGCTAAGGACGCACCTGTATTTCCTCAGGTGTTACAAATGTTCATTGGCGGCATTAGTGACTGCCTGTCAGTTTAGCCGTATGCTCATTTACTTCATGAGGCGTTTGAAGAGAATTAGGGACCCTTTTACTAAAACGATCCATCTTAGACCTCAGGAGTGACAACACTACTGCATTTTGATTCTAATCTAGCATAGAAGTAGATGTATATAGGTATATGACATTGTTCAAGACGTATATGAACATATTAGATATTTATTTATTCCTTATTGCTATAGCTGCCAAAACGTGTATGAGTCATAGCATTCACTTACCATCATGTAAAGTGATAGTTTGTCTGACACTCATATATTAGAAGAAAACAAATCGAACGACAAGAAAAACAATAACTTACTTAATTCCTCTTCCTTGATAGTTATATTCGACTGGTGGAATTTTTAAAGATTTTAGCGACGGAATCGTTAACATGTCTGCTTGCCATTTTGTCAAGAAACTGACAATATTCTTCTCCAATGGGTTTCTTGCTGAAATAAAAATAAGTAACGTTAATCGTGGCAACTGAGTAGTACCATTTTTAGTATCAGCCCGAGCTGAACACTTTCCCCAGCGAGAGATTTTCCACGGCCAAATAGGTGACTACGGAACGAAATATGAACACCGCAATATGCAACTTTCGGAAACTCCGTCTTCAAGCTTGTCATTATTGTCCTCAAGAATACCTTCCTCAAAATCCTGACTAGTGACATCCATTACAGCCCATTAAATTCTACTGCTAAAAATAAGCCTCCCCCATAGATTGCCTCATAGGTGGGATATTTGTCATAGTTACCACACTTGGCAAGCGCGTTGGCAAACGCAGTTTTTTTTATTATTTAAGTTCCTATCAGATTCGGATTTATTGTTGAATATTTGATATATTAACGTAAATGTATATAAAAAGCAAACATTTTCAACGCAGTAGTGGTAAATAATTTCATCTTGTTATCATTTAGAGAGGCTTATACAACTGTTTTGAGCAAACAACAAAAATCTACATAGATAAAATACAAATCTCAATTAAATTAATGTCAACATTTGCACATCATATTTTCCCTAGATATACGCACAAGATTTGTATACTAACAGGTAATCACATTAAGCAATGAATAAAAACATCTTTATGATGATAAATGTGACAAGCGACCACACAGTCCACTAATTGTAAGTGGCTGCTGTGGCCCATAGACATTTACACCTATTCACGTATGCGAATCAAAATGCAGATGCGTTGTCAGCCGTGAGGACTAAGATGGAATATCTCGTTTCCAGTAAAAAGGTCTCCGGTAATCTACACTCACCAATCAAAACACAGCAGCATTAAGCTGCTATTTTACGTTGGTATTTTCTGAGAGTGTGGTCCTTCCCCGGTCGAGCCGACCCATTCCTGCTATAACTATACAATTAATATAGCTGCAGCATAGTTCTGCTACGTTTAAAAGGTTTTCTTTAATGATTACAATGGAAATAGGTAAATTAACAATAGAGTCGTGGTAGTTTAGGCGCTAAGCTTTACAATATACTAAAGATCTGCCCCGGCTTCGCACGGTTGATTTCTAGATCTTGACGACAGCGCCACCTATTGGGTCCAATTGGTGATTTTAATCATCTTGTGAGTAACTAAGTGCTGATTTTGCACGTGCTCATCGGTAAAGGGATGCATCGTGAGGAAACGACTGAGGAATGATTTATTATTTTTGAGGACATATGAAGCCAACACGCACTAGAGTGATTCTGCAGACTGATTGACTAATTGGGTTAACACAACTCTTCCAGAAATGAGAGAAGACAGGGAGACGTAATAAATAGAGAAAAAATATTTTCATCATCATCATCACCATCGTTACAGCCCTTTACAAGTCCACAGCTGAACATAGGCCTCCCCTAAATGAATGCCGCAAAGCACGGGCTTAAGCTGCCTTGGCCGGTTTTTTCAATAACTATGTTTTACTTTAGGGGTGGTGAAATATAAATTTGGTGAAAATATTTATCCCGAAGGACTGAAAAATGTAGGATGAAGTTTTTAGTGTAACTTTTTAGACGGCATTGACGTTGTAATATTCCATCAACTCATAACAATAAAAATAACCTTTTTTTTTTCTACAATAATTTAAAGGACATTTAACGCTTAGCGTATGTCAGTCCCATCATACCCTAACATACATGACTTACTCAATATAACGTTAGTTAATACTTATTATACTACGTGGGCCATGGATTCGAACAGAACTTTCGCATCGTCACCATTTGGTTGGGATAGAATATTATGAAATGTGCCTACGTCAGTTCTGTTCAAATTTCCTTATGAAATTACTTCTAGTAGACTCAAATCAATTAATAGTAATAATAAAAGCTTTTTTTTTCGATTTAAGAAAGATGCGCTATGTAGTGGCGGCGTAAGAATATCCACTACCCCATATCATTCCATGGGTACCGTAAGAGACGACAGATGGAAACTGAAGCAGAAGACCACAAAAACAAAACTGAAAACACTAAAACACTGGGTTTACCAACCCACCTACCAAGCGTCGCAACTACGGCAATATCCGCTCCACAAGAAAATTTATAGGGGAGCCATATAATCAGCAGTGGACTTTTGACAGGCTTTAATGAGTACATATGTGATATAGGTAATGTGTTAATGAAATAGGTGTGTTGCTGCTTCTATAACTTTAATTAAACTGATCTCTATTCTTAACCTAATTCTAATAATCTTCTATTTGACGGCTCCGTGGCGCAGTGGCTTAGCAATGAGTTGCTGCGCTGGGGGGCGCGGGTTCGAATCCCGCACGGAACAAGTATTTGTATGGCCTACAAATGATTGTTCCGGGTCTGGATGTTTGTCCTTGTGAAATTTGTGTTTGTAAACTGCCTCCACGATGCAGGAGAAAATCCTAGTGTGGGGGTAACGTTTTTTTCAAAAAAAAAAATATATATATATATATATATATATATATATATATATATGTATATATAGTCGTGGAGGCTATACTACACTACACAAGAATTATAGATATATGTGTCTATGGACTGTATTCTACATCCCATATAGTGGACGACTCTCACTTATAGAAAAGGATTAATGAAAGTGTAGAAATTAAATTTTCCTCGGTAGCGTAAAATGTTTATAGAATACAAATACAATATTCGAAACGTACAAAATACGAAAGAAGATATTTTCTTAAAAAAAAGAGATTTTCAGTTCGACTGTATGTTATTTTGTATGTCTTCGTCAATTGTAAACCGATTTTGATGACTCTTTTTAGGGATTCGTACCCAAAAGTTAACTAATGGTTAACTGGTTAACTGGTAACTAAAAGTTAACTATTACTAAGCCTCCGCTGCCCGTCCGTCCGAACGTCCGTCCGTTCGTCTGTCTGTCAGCGGGCTGTATCTCATTTCCGTAATAGGTAGACAGTTGAAATTTTCACAGAATGTGTATGTCTGTTGCCGTTATAACAGAAAATAATAAAAATAAATAAAAAATAAAAGGGGACTCCCCTACTAGAAACTTGCTTTACGAAGGTACGGAACCTTTTATGCGCGACTCGCACTTGGCCGGTTTTTTCAATAAATATGTTTTACTTTGGGGGTGGTGAAATATAAATTTGGTGATAATATTTATTCCGAAGGACTGAAAAATGTAGGATGAAGTTTTTAGTGTAAGTTTTTAAGTTACACGAAAAAAGGAAAGGGATTAATGAAAGTGTAGAAATTAAATTTTCCTCGGTAGCGTAAAATGTTTACAGAATACAAATACAATATTCGAAACGTACAAAATACGAAAGAAAATATTTTCTTCGCTCTACACAAATCGGAAGAGGATTATTTGCTATTTTATTAACTCGATTTTGTCCACGCAGTGACGACAGAGCTAAGAGTTTTCTCTGAAAGAACCTAATTATGTTAGATTAGATCCGCGTGGAAATGGTGTGTATTCACTAGTTTGAATGGTACCACCCTTCCCCAACTGTTACGTGCACTATAATTTCCACAAATACCCCTAATACTCCTCTAATATCTACAGTAGGAAATACTCCAACGTCGATAATACACGTGTTCCGCCTCTAAACGTTACCTCATTAGCAGAAATTCGACACAGATTCAAAGTTGGTTAACCACTAAGTATAAATATTTATAATAACGTAATAATAATTCGCTTGCATCTTAGGTGTATTTTGGGCTCGGGAAATAAAACAGTAAAAAATAATAATGATCTAAGTGGGACAAGTATGAGTATATGGGAGATGACAACATATTAGCGCCATTTGCTGTAGACATTATCGGACCGTGGGGTTTACGTGCAGTAAAACTGTCGTCGCCGTTGGTGATAAGAGGACTACTTTTTTTTTTAAATTCAAATGCCACTATAGTCATTTATCTAGTAAACGCGGCCAGTGTCCTTGGCTCTAAGCCGCGAGGACTAGAATTGTATGATAATTTAAGTGTTTAGTTTAAGTTTTTCTTTTAATTATAATAATATACATCCCATAATATATTTTTATGTAAATAATTTTTTTAATTTTATAGGAAAATAATAATTAATAAACTTTGTGATCGAAGCCAACTTTCCTTTGTAGGTACTATAAACTTTTCATACTGTATTTATCATTTGATTTTGTGCGTTTCATAGCCTAACTTTACATTACTACTATTATTATAACATATATTATATAATTATTAATATTATTGTTTATAATTCTGTCACTTATATTCTGACAACGTGACTGACATAAATTTGACATTGATTCATAAAATCAGGCTATTTAACATATCTTTTCCTTAAATAAGTTATATTACTTGTGACAAATGTTATTAAAAAGCATATTAACTTACGTATAATTCGTCCATTGATTGCAACAGCAAGCAAAAATATCACCCACATGTAATAAGACATGACAAATATGAAACAGGTACAACAATATCTCTCAACTGACTGAACATTATCATTTGTAGAGTCTTTCGTTTATATACCGTAATTATAAGCTTAAATGTTTAAGATATTTGCTCAATTACAAAACGTGGGCATATACGCTAATCATAAATTAATGACTTATTTTAATTAATTACCCTTCCGAGTGATTGAGATCACCAAACACATCTTTTTCTGCTTATAAAATATGTTAACAGTACGTTAAAATGTGTGCCGTGTAATAGTGGCGTAAGAAAAAATCACAACCCCAAGTCATCCCGTGAGTAACGTAAGAGGCTATAAAGATAAATAGAACAGATATATGGGCAGCAACATTTTCTTGAATTTTCTTCGCTTACAGGAACTGGACTCGTGAAACCGTAGACCGGGCGCATCTGGGGTGCAGGCTAATGAGCGGTGCTGGGATTAGTGGTGACGGAGATAGTGCACGCAATTGAGGGAGGGTGGGAGGTGCTCTTCATACTAGGTAAGACACATCATTTTATTTTATAACGCGGATATTTGCGAAGTAAATTTTTCTAAAAGCTTTTATATAATGGATTTCCGCAAAGTAACGCCTGATTCTATTAATTATATTCTTCATATAAAGCATTCTTATGAAAACAATACTGGAAACGAGGCATTCCATTTTAGTCCTCAGGGGTGACAACGCGTCTGCATTTAGAAAGGGGATGGGGTGTACGGATCAAGTCTTTTCCATGCGCATGATTGCGGAGAAATTTTTGGCCAAAAACCAGAAAGTTTTTTGTGCGTTCATGGACTTGGAAAAGGCTTATGACAGAGTGGACAGAAACATGTTATGGCAAACACTGACCTCATTTGGGTTGAGCGCTGGTCTGATACAGACATTAAAGTCTCTTTATAGGGACTATAGTGCTTGTGTCAGGATCAACGGGGCCTACTCGGACTGGTTTGGCATTCAAAAAGGTGTCAGACAGGGCTGTGTAGCTTCTCCGTGGCTGTTTAACCTATTTATGGACAGTTTTTTGCAAACTTTGAAAGTTGAAGAATGTGGGTTGAGAATGGGTGAGTTAACCGTCAAATGCCTGTTGTACGCCGATGATCAAGTCATATTTGCATCGGCGGCGGCCGAGTAGCAAATGATGGTTAATTTAATGAACTGGTCATTAAAAGAAAGGGGTATGAAAGTGAACGCAAGTGAGACAAAAGTGATGGTTTTTGAAAGAGAAGAAAGTAAAACGTTATGTGAAATAAGAATAGAAGGTGAGTTGATTGAGCAAGTGGATGAGTTTGTATATTTGGGATGTTTTTTTAACAGGGATGGTAGATATGATAAGGATATAGAACGACGAGTGAACGCAGAAAATAGAGTTAATGGGGCTCTACACGCTATTATGAAGAGGCAGAATGTGTCAAAGAAGGCACGTATGGCAATTCATAATGCTGTGTTAGTCCCTACTTTAATGTATGGTAGTGAAAATTGGGTATGGCAGAAGAAGCATGAGAGTAGAATAAAGGCTGTATAAATGCGGTCATTAAAGAGTATGAATCTGAATCTGAATCTGAACGGCTGAATCTGAATGACAGGGTGAGACAGTGGTAAGAGAAAAGTGTGGTTTGCAAGATGACGTTGTGACTAGGATTAAAAAAGGAATGCTTCGGTGGTTTGGTCACGTAGAAAGAATGAACGAGGAAAAAGTGACAAAGCAAATTTATGTTTCAGAAGTGAACGGCAAAGTCGGGAAGGGACGCCCTAGACGAAGATTTATCGACCAGATCGGCGATACATTGAAAATGGGCCAGATTAGGAGTACCCTTAACCGACGAGCGTGTGTGCGTAAATATATGGATGTAAAGGAGGCGAGAGAGGTGTGTCAGGATCGCGCCAAATAGAAGTCCGTAGTCTCTGCCAACCCCTCTGGGTGACAGGCGTGAGTTTTTGTATTGTATCTTGGATAGATCTAGATTTCTATAGGCCACATCATCCACTTACCTTCTGATGGACTGTGTGCTCGCCTGTCATATTTATTTAATAAAAAATATAAGGAGGAGCCCTATATTAGGAAATCTTCCGCTGGATCTTAGAAGGCTAGTGCTTACGGGCGCACGTCTTTCTTGTCCCCATGGCCTCCTCCTAACGGACAAAGGATTAGTTGCTAAGGTGGAGATGAATACCGTGTAGAAAAGCGCGCTCGCCTGAGGTTAATAGAAGAGAAGTTGTCGTCTATCGAGGAGGGGCTGCCCTGGAGCTACCAGCGCTGGTGTGGCCGCGGAAGTAAATGCGCGGCGAAGGTGGAGCAACATTTGGTTTTAGTTGATATGAGCCCGATATAACCGATCCTAGTCCCCGCGATGCGGGTATGCGTATGCATTTCCCAATGTCAATAAAAATAAATAAAACCTATAAATAAATCAAACTTCACACTCACAATGATACACACAAAAATTCTCATTTTTCCTCATCGCGATTAAGGTGCCACGTGCTCGGCAGTGAAAATAACATCTTTACTAAATCTACTTGTCCTTGTGACATTTAATCGGGGCAGTGCTGTCGACTATTTCCTCGTCGAAAGCCCATCTCATGACATATGTATGTTGACGAAGGTGGTGGAGATCGGCAAAAATAAACGGCGAATTACAAATA